ATAAATGTAAGATTTTCTTAAGAAAACTCAAAATTATATTACTGATGTTTCAGTAAAATAAAACAGTGATTTATAAAAACACAATGAAAATGAAAAACATGGTGATGATTTCCTGTGCTTCATTAGTCTATTTTAGGCACGATAAAATAATAGAAGTGATTCTATATTCTTTGTGACATGTAATTATTATGATTAACAAATGCATAAACATTTTAGTTAAACAACCAATGAATCATGAACAGAACCGATTGTTTCTGTTTAATATCTGATTAAGAGAACTGAAGTCCTCGTGTAGGTTGAAATGACCCGTCATGGCCTAAAATAAGAGTTCAGCAGCTCCTGCCAATTCTCAGGCCTGTGCGAGACCTGCTTTGAGGCAGTAATTCCTGTTTCTTCACTCGAGGTGACCCCTACATGCACATGAAAAAAATTGTCAAATCTTCTCTGCTAAACAGCTTATTTTGCTGTTGACACTTATTTTGAGCTTCTGGTACGTCCAGGTGCTGTCAGTCAGGTGCCTTAAGATTTATTGCCACGAAGCATTGTTACAACAAAGAAATAATCTACTAAACATAATATTCATTATTTTTTCTGCTAATTTTATATACTTATCTACCTTATCAACAGCCACAAACTGCTTCTTCCTGATACAAATATGTTGCTGTCTGAAAATCTGGAACAAAAAGATTGAAAGTGCTGAAACAAAACATGGGTTCAGTGTTAAATCCTGTCTAGGAGCTCTGTGCCCAACATTTAACAAAAAGGTTGTCTTATTTTAATCTGCAAGCAGAAAATCTTCTAAATTAAGTGTATTTTTTAGTGGTGTGCTCTATCATCCAGGGAAAGACCTTCTGCTCCTCCACATAAAGGAGTCAGCTGGGGTGGTTCAAACATTTGATCAGGGTCTTTTCTCGGTCATCCTTTAATGTCCTTCAGTTATATCTCAATAGGAGGAAACCCCATGGCAGATCTTTTTCTAGATATTATACCTTTCTGGCCCCAGAATAACTGGGTCACTGAGAAAAGGGACGTCTGGGTTTCCCTCCTGTACCGTTTGTCTCTTTGACTTGATTATAAATAAACTACAGAAAGTTGATCCATGAACGTTTTGAGGACAGATAAGAATTGATATTGCCATCAAAGCTGCAGGACTTTTGAATTAGCATTAGTTTTACCACAGAGCTAATCACCAGCCGACAATCTGCAGTCACTGTAGCAGCCAGTTAGTTCAAGACCTTTTAGGAGAGACTCAAAGATTCTCTGTAGGTAAACATCAACACAAATTAGGCAATGTCATCACAATTAGGCTGTAAAAATCACACTAGGATCAGAGAAAAACTTTCACAGAAGCTTTTTATTTTTTTTCTAACTGGTTTTTTTTAATGTTGCTTGCACTCTGTTGGTGTGTCAGGTGAGGGCCGGGTGTGTCCTCCAGGTCAGCAGTGGAAGCAGTGCGTGAAGGGAGCAGTGTTTTGTTCAGATCTCACGTTGAACGTTAGCAGGAACTGTAGCCCAGGCTGCCAGTGCCTTCATGGGACGATCCTGCAGGTGACTGGAGCAGAGATAGGCTCATATTAATACATGTAGAGGGAACTGTGATCATTTTGCTCATATTGCTGTGTATTTTCAGGATGGTGTGTGTGTTCCTCAGTATGACTGTCGTTGTGATGTTGATGGAGAGCAGTACCAACCTGGAGACATTGTCTTGCAGAGCTGCAACAAGTGGTAAAGGCGACATCAGTTGAGCCATAACTTAAAGTACATGTGATGTGCACTACCTTCAATTACAAAATGTCAAAGAAAGCATCTTTGAATTTAAGAAACTTGGCTTAATACATGTGATTTGAGCCTTTTTGTCACATAAATGGCCTATTTTCTTTTGTACCTGGCTCAACCAAAATGAAACAGGAAGTGACATCAAAGGGAAATCTTAAACATTATCTTATCTTACATGCTCTTTGTTTATTGAAACGTTATTTTAACTCTGACTTCATCTCTCTGATAATGACTCAAAGTAATCATCACTTTTCACTGCTTTGGTGATGTGTTATTTAGCAGACATTCATCTTTGACATCACTTCCTGTTACTTCCTGTTACTTCACATGCAAATATATAAATATGCAAATATATCGAAACAACTGTGCATTTCAGCAGAGATATATACTGTAAAGTACATGCAAAAAATAAAAATACCTTACCAGAAAATGACTTTGGTAAAAAATAAAAGTCAGGGATAAGTAAAGTCTGCTCACAATAATTGAAAAAAAAAAGTACAAAGAAAAAAGTAAAAGTACTTCTACACATAAAGGAATGAAGAAACTTTTTTTTTTATTTACTTAACAAATTAGTTCCACTAAAACGAGTTGAGTAAATTGTTTTACATTTACTCAACTTGGTTTAGTGGAACCAGTGCATAACTTGATTAAATATGTTTTATACATGTATATAAATATGCATATGTGTTTATGTATATGTGTATATGTGCATTGGTATATGTACATTACTATATATCATACGTGTATATGTGAGGTTGTTTTTGTTTATCTTTTATTTATCTTTCATTATTCTGCTCACCCTCTCCTGTATTGAGCTGCAGTAATGTGAAAATTTCCCCACTGTGGGATCAATAAAGTTTTATCTTATCCTATCTTATCTTAAAATAAATTCAACACTTTATTTTTGAGAGTACAGAAACAGCTCATTTCATGATTTCGGTTGTGTTTAAATTTATAACATGTAACTAGGTGTTAAATTTTAAAGTAAAGATGTAAATGTATAATTTTTACGTTTTGAGTGTGACAAAATAAAGTAAAAGTTAGGATTAAAAAATGCTAGTTATAATTACAAATCCTTAAAGAAAGTACTAAAAATGCTTAAATGAAGTAAAGGTACATCTCTGCATTTCAGAGCTTAAAGCTTTTGCTATATGTTTATTGGTGTTATTTTTCCAAAATTGCATTCATATTTATTACAAAAAATGATTTCACAGGCACTTTAAAGTCTTGATTGTTGGTAAAACTGATTTTTTTGTGTTGGTGACATTGCAGCATATGTGATGGAGGAAAGCTCGTAAATTGCTCTCAAGTTGGGTGCAGTGGTAGGTTGCATATTCAAATCTTTAATTCTAGTGTTCTTTTTGTTAAATTTTAGAATTCCTCTTGTAATTTTTTTTAATTGCATAACCAAGTGTTTAAGAAATGTGTGGTAAAACAGTGTTTTCTCCTCCTCATGTCCCACCCTGAATATATCCTACACACAAACACCTGATCTCCACAGTGGACGGCCGGTGGTCCGTGTGGACTCCCTGGAGTCAGTGCTCAGTGTCATGTGGTACAGGTCTCAGGTCTCGCTACCGTTTCTGTTCCAATCCCCAGCGGTCTGGAAGTGGTCTTCCATGTTTCGGTCCTCACCGTGATGACCAAGTCTGCATCACCACACCATGTGACCGTGAGTTTACTTTGTGATACTTCGTGAGTGCACATGGTGACATCCAGAGTTTGGGTCCATTTTAATTAACTTAAAGCAGAAACAGGTATTCAATAATGAAATGAACAGATGCAGCTCCTTCTGAAAGAATGTATTTTTGTATCATGCATTTTTGCTTTTTTTATCATACTTCAGTGGTTTCAGATGAGAAAAGCAGTTTAAATACCAGAAAATTTTAACTTGAGAAGATATACAGTAGCATGCAGTTTTCAAATAGTGGTTTAATTTATTACGGGAGATATTTAAAGTCTGCTGATTAACCCCATTTCTTTAAAAATCTGACATTAGTAGAACCCAGGCCTAATGCCTGCCTCACCTGAAGAAAGAAAAAACATCAAATAGAGTAATTTAAGTTTTTGGTTTGGCTTTCCGTTCACCTAATATATACAATCATAATTGAAAATCTGCCTTTTGTATTTACTCAGGTTATCTTTGTTCATTATTAAACAGTGGTTTGATGATCTTACATGCAAAAAAGAGCAAAAACAAAAGAAATCTATGAGGGTGCAAAAATATTTTCACCACACTCTATATCTAATAACCAATCTTAATTTGATATCTTGCTTTTGCAATAGTATCATGTTATGTTGGCGTTTTACAGGTGACGGCGGTTGGAGTCCATGGACTAAATGGACAGGGTGTACCAAGTCATGTGGAGGTGGGGTACAAAGCCGAAGGAGACACTGTGACAGCCCCATTCCTGAGGGGGAGGGAAACTACTGTGAGGGTCTGGGAACTGAAGTCGTAGCTTGTAACACTGACCACTGTCCAGGTACTGTGATGAGTTCGAGCTGAATTCAGAATGCAGCGCTCAGTGCGTGTCGTCACATTAGGTTTGCGATGCAGAGTCCTCATCAGCGTGACAAAATGAAAACAGACGCTTCTTCGTGTGTTTCAGTGTCGCCCTGTTCCCAGGTCCCAGGGACAGTGTTCAGTAGTTGTGGGCCTTCCTGTCCTCGCTCCTGTGATGACCTGTCAGTGAGTGCAACAGAAAATCACAATACCACAAGTTTTTAGATTTAACTTATATCTACATTCTGTATTTCTGAATTTTACTAAAAAAAATGTTTGGACTGTTTCCCAGCACTGCGAGTGGCGTTGTGAGCCAGGATGTTACTGCACGCAGGGAAAAGTCCTGTCGGCCAATGGGACTGTCTGTGTAGCAAGAGAAGACTGTCCTTGCTTGGACCTCAACTCTGGACACCGACTAGTGCCAGGACAGATTACGGAGGCCCCTGATGGATGCAACAACTGGTCAGAATAAAAAGCGCACAAAGAGCTCTTGCAATACATCGGAGGTGTAAAACACATTTTCATTGTTGGCCACATGGGCGTTATGGTGGTCTTCAAAGGGCCAGTTGTAATTAGCTTCAACGATTCATGTTTAACTTTGACTAAACACGTCTCAACTACTCTCATTGCTAAGACTGAGCACCACTAGCAAACAATAACTAAGCTCTACCTGGTATTTCTTGCATAGAAACATTTTTAACACTCCTCTTATAAACAATAAAATATTTACGACTGACTAAATGGGAAATAAATAATACAGAAATACAATTAAAAGTAAACTTTTTAAATTTGTTTATCTTGTTGCATAAATTTAAGTTTAAATGGTAAATGGACTGTACTTATATAGCACCTTTCTATCCAACCAGGGAACTCAAAGTGCTTCACATTACAATCTGTGTCCTCATTTACCCATTCACACAGCACTTTATTAGGTCTTTACAAAGCTAACATGGTCAAATCATCCTATGGAGACTAATCAGTGCTTTTTAAATCACAAACATACACTGATTGGATACATATCAGAGGCATTGGGGATGAATTGTCTTGCCCAAGGGCACAACAACTGAGACAGCTGGAATATATGCAAGTATATCACATTAATGCACCAACAAAGGATGAGGAAGAAACGTGTTTTATTTGATTGTTTGCTTTCTTCTGTTCTGTGTGTTGGTGCTGCAGCACATGTGAGAGTGGCAGGTTTGACTGCACCAAAGAGCTTTGCCCAGGTGAGCAAGTCATCTAAAACAATTAGACTGTATTAAAATAAATAAATAAATAAAATTTTATTTTTGGCAGTATATTCAGAAAATATATAATAATCTCTGTTATTGCAGTGTCAGGTGGGTGGTGCGAGTGGTCAGAGTGGACTCCCTGTACCAGAACTTGTGGCGCAGAGTCGGTGTCCCGTTACAGAAGCTGCAGCTGTCCTGAACCTAAAGCTGGTGGAGAAGCCTGCTCAGGAGAGCAGGAGATGCACAGTGGGATTGGAGTTCAGATACAGAGACAGCCCTGTCCTGTCATCACCTTTTGTCCAAGTAAGATCGTACAAGTGAAGGGTCAACACACCTTCAAGAGACAGACTGACAGGCAGATAGGCAGACAGACAAAACAATGCTATAAATTGATACTCAAAAAACAATAAAAACTATTAATAATTAATTATAATAATTAAAGTTTTGAGAATATTTGAAATGTAGATTTTCAGTAACTCATTTTTCAACATCCACAAAATTTCTGTGTAGAACTGTTTGGGACCTGACTAACAGTGGCACTTCCAGAACTGAATTTATTTTATAATGAGCTGGCTGAAAGGGGTGGCACACCAAAACCAAAAAATATGTAGAAATTTCAGATTAAGTTGTCAGAAAGAGGTTATTTGACAAATACAGCAATATAGGAGTTAAGGAATCACATTCTTACATAGATGGGTCTACTTTGACTTTTAGTTAATATAGCTAAATATAGCTTAATTAATATAGCTTATTGAGAAGATCACTGCCACAACTTAACTTATTGAAGCTTTTTGAATATTAGGCATAAAACCTCCTGAGACCCGCATCCTGATGTTGAGGACATTGATTTTTGAATATTTGTCCTTAGGGGTTATACATTTAAAATTTTCACTTAATTTTAATTAAAATGTAAATATATATTTAGCTTGTAATAAATAAATTGTTTTTTATGATGTTCTACTAAGTCAATATACTGTAAGGGGAAATAAAAAAATGCACACTAAAAAAAATGCAGGACTCAAGATGACAAAAAATGTGACAGAGTGGGGATAGTGGGGGAGCCGCCCCCCAATGCCCCCCCCCACCCCCCCCCCGGTGACGCCCTTGTTGCCCATTATTAGCCCTGTCAAGCTTAGTGTAAACTGGTTGATGTACACCAATATTTAGTGATGCATTTAATAGCAAGATATGAACATTTGCTGCACCACCATGGACATGACCTTCAGCAAAGGTCACATCCTTTAATACCAAACAACTGCTTGTTACAAACACGCAGTTTGAAATTGCTACGGTCAGAAGGGTCAGGGAAGGATAAGAACCCATAAAACATTTTACTTCATTTTCTCAGTGAGCAGTTTACAGCTATAGCAGAAAACTGACATGTGAATGTGTTTAGGGCCACATTATGATCAAACATATAAAATCTGTTGCAAATTGGGTGTTTATGCAAGTTTTGAGGCAAGAAGTCTAATATTGAGGTTCTACCAAGCCCACCCCAAGACCAGAACTTTAGCTGACCTAAATAATTCAAAAACAAGTTTTGAAGTAAAAAAAAATCTTAAAGTATTGTCTGGTTGCACAGTAAGTGTTTATTCAATTGTCAGATAACTGTCATCTTTTTAACATACTGACCTATAATTTGGTGTCTGTAGCAGTAGCTTAAATTTGTCCCAAACACGTCTTCTTTGGCTTTTTGGGTGATATGTATTTCTTCAAATTGTGCAATTTTTTAAAATAACTAATTATATCAACAAATATCTGTTTCCTTTATTAAAGTTTCTTGTCTGCACTCAGTTGTGCATAATGTGGTTCTGCCTATCCTGCTTTCTGTTAGACTCTTTGCTTTTCTTACCCTCCCGATAGTTCATGGTTCATGGAGTTCCTGGTCGGCGTGGTCGGAGTGTGACGGGTGCTCCGGGTCATCCACCCGCTCCAGGGAGTGCAGCAGCCCTCCTGCCAGGTTCGGTGGCCTTCCCTGTCTGGGAGAGAGCCAGCAGAGCCGCGGATGCCATGACAACATCACTGTCTGCTCAGGTCAGCACATCAGCAGATAATGTATTCATAGTGAATCAAGTCTGAAACAGAGTTTTTGAAGCTGTTAAAAAAAACCTTTGTGTTAATTTTATAATTCCTTCCTGTTGCTACAGACTGCAGTGGTGGGCAGGAAACATGGGTGTGCGGGAAGCCCTGTGCACGCTCCTGCTCAGATCTGTCTGGAGACACGGAGTGTTTGGAAAGCTCCAGGTGTAGCTGGACCTGTGGCTGTCCTGGTGACACTGTGCTGCAGGATGGAGTGTGTGTGTCGAAGGAAGAGTGCCGCTGCAAATACCAGAACAGCTCTACTATTGGTTTGACAGAGTTCCTGATCATGTGAAAATGATAGTTGTCAGATTAATATCACTTAATGGCATCAACCACACCCCTAACCTGATGTTTCTCTGTTCAGATCAACTGGAGTCTGGTAATATGTCTTGGGTTTGGCCTGGTGGTTATGACTGGCAGTTTGCAAATCCAGGAGACACCATCGTCAGTGCCTGCAAAAACTGGTGTTTAATAGCTCTAAAACTTCTTACTGTATAAATAACACAACCCCAGTTCCAGTCAGGTTGTGTAAAACAAATAAAAACAGGATACCAGTGGTGGGCACAGTTCCCCTAAAGCACTAAAGCGCTAATAGGGGAAATAATTTCCTGTTTAGTGCTTTAGGGCTTTTGTTAATTTTAAAATTTATTAGTGGATTAGCACTTGCTAAATTTAGAAGCACTAACTGAGGTCTATAAATGATATTGATCAAAGTTAATGTTAACATTTTGTTAAGCTGTGTGTCACTTATCCACCAGTGAATATATTAACTGAAATGCAGCTGAGGAATGTCAATGATAAGTCTTAAGAGAGCATCATGGCAATATGTGACTCATGTTGTCTGTTGAAGAATGTTCATGGGTTGATTGGGTTATTTTAGTGCTTTAGAATTAGCTTTTGATAAAAAATTTCAGGGTGTTAGTGATTTAGAATTAGGGGACCTAAATATTTGAGTTAGTGTTTTTAGGGCTAGTGGAATTAATTTTTAGATTCGTGCTGCCCATCACTGCAGGATACGATGAGTTGCTAATTATTCTCAACCCATGTCCAACTGAAATCACTACAAAGACAAGCAAGTGATTCTTCAAACTATGTTGTCTTGTTTTTCAGTTCGTGTGTGACCGGAGTTTTGCAGTGTCAGTCTCTGCCTGGTTGTCATGTTGACGGTGGCTGGAGCCAGTGGGGAACTTGGAGCGAGTGTTCACTACCTTGTGTTGGAGGAGTCACGTTCAGGAGGCGCTTGTGCAACAACCCAGCTCCTCAAAATGGCGGAAGAGGCTGCCTGGGCGTGGCCGAGCAGCAGAAAGAATGCAACAAACAAATGTGCACAGGTAGTACAAATCACAGGTGACTCTCTGCTACAAAAACACCAATTTTGATATAAAACTTATAATATTATTTGGTCTGCTGAATTGTAGTTCTGGGTTGACTCCAAAAGTAAAGCATTATAAATGTATAGCTGGAGAAGAGTTGAACTTTTTCTGGCTGACTTTATTGTGTAAAGAAAATTGTCTCTTTTTGATGCTGGTGAAGATTCTCATTCATCCAAGTCAATATCAACCCCCCCCCCCCCAATAAATAAATAAACAAATAAATAAAATTAAAAACCAAACAGCTGGACTTTGATTCTGACTCTTTGATCCACCCATGTGAACCCATTTTGTGCACATCCCACTAGCAGATTGTTTTTCTCTCACAAAGTTCAATATATGGCAAGTATTATGTGACTGGTCAGAACTTTGTGAACATATTTCTGCAGAGAAGCAGCTGAATTACACGGCTCTTATGTAGCCTTCACTGCTTTGCAGAGGAACAGCTGGTTGAGGCTATGAGAAAATACAGCCATGTTTCCAAATGTTCCAGCTAAACACATAAAGACATCAAATAAAACTCATAAAGACTGTCAAAGAACTCGTAGAAGGAAAGGAGAGGAGAGCCCAGTGCAGTGTTCTGATATGCAAAGTAGGAACTATGATGTGTTTGAAGAAACTGGAAAAACTAAACTTCTGATTGAAGATGGCTAAAAAATAGCTTTAAATATAATCATGTTTGATATGACATGAGGGAAAACTCTTGGTGTCTCAAATACGCTGAATATGTCACAGTCTTTGTATCTGTGGACCGTTTACAGTTCAGTTTGTCGTTTTTGTCCCTAGACTTGGTGGGTCCATGGCTGCCCTGGTCTCACTGGTCTTCATGTTCAGTTAGCTGTGGTGGAGGGCAGCAGACTCGCTCTCGTGTCTGCAGCTCGCCACCTTGCCATAGCCTCAGTCGACAGAGCAAAACCTGCAACACACAAGTCTGCCTCGGTTGGTTTCACATTTCTTTACACGATCCTCAAACTTCAGGTCATATAAACTTTTTATGTCTATAAAAAGACACATTTTGTTTTAATGTTTTATGATTTTGGGAAGATGTGGGCTGCCCTCCTGGCAGACTTTACAGGGAGTGTGATCATGGAGAAGGCTGCCCTTTCAGCTGCTCTCAGGTCAGTGGAAAAGAAGGCTGCTACTCTGACGGCTGCGAGGAAGGCTGCCACTGTCCCCCTCAGACCTACCAGCATCGTGGACACTGCGTACCGGTGGGTGTCTCAGCCAATCAGAGCACAACTGACAACACTTCACACACACTGACTCATTAATGTTTATGTTTTAGGAATGTCCATGTCTGGTGGATAAAGAGTTTTTAGCCTCTCTTCAGAGTGTGTCGGTCACACCAGTGTCAGCTCTGCTTTCCAACAACACCTCTGAAAACGCAGAGCTCAACTCCGGAGATACATTTGTACATGACTGCAGCAGCTGGTGAGCAAAGACGATTTTATATTAAAAGATATTACCGTATGCTCCAAGCAGTTTACTTACTGCCCACAACCAAAAAGCAAAGGCGGAAAATGTTTTTACCCTGTTTTGTGTTTGTGTGCCACTCAGCAAAGGTTCTCATGAACCAATAAATGGATCTTATTGAAACTTGTCAAATGTAATCACTAGACATGGGTTTTTACGATGTAAAAACAAGTGTGCATTGCCAGCATGGCTCTGCCTGCAGCAATGGACTTGCAGAATGAACTTTGACCAAGTTCAAATGTGTTTTCTATACCTGCTTGTGCCTGTCACGTCAGCAGGTGCTTGTAATTAAGGTAATTGTGGGACGACATGAAATTTGAAGAGATTTTTTGTTAAAGTTGCGTTAGCTGGGTTTTGAACCCTGATCTCCTACATGAAAGTCCATGACATAGACCATTAGATCAATGGAGCTGTGGCAGATGATGGTGGCAGGGGTTGGTTTGTATGTGTGCAGAAAGAGGCCACATTGCCAATACAATTATTGACACAAAAATGCATAATATTACAATAACAGAGCAGTATTAAGACAATATTATAGTAAAACATCAAAATACAATCGTATTAGTACTGTAAACACTGAACTACTGAGTTGAAATATTAAACTATGGTGCAGTACCAAGTTGAGTACAGCATGGGGCAGTATTGGACCTATACAAGGCTCCATTGACTGCCATTATAATTCATTAAACATTAATATTTCATAAACTATAAGTTGTACAGGCACCAAAAGGCATAGACATCATTTGGCACAGGGGCTTTACAAATATAAATTACAAAGGCAGCTCTAGGACAAAGTATGCAGGAGGAGAAACATGGCAAAGTTGAGATGACTTGGATGGGAAACGAATCACAATAGTGTGCATTGCATTGGCAATGCACACTGACTAAAGGTACATTTCCAACTAATGCGTTTTAATGTCAAAGAAGGCTGTCGCAGTCTAGTAAATCTTAAAAAATACATAAAATAGTGAAAACTCAGCAAGTTTTACAAATACTAAGTCTAAAAAATGTCATGGTAACAGATGTGACTGATCTTCAAAAACTTATCTGTGGTGATTGGGAGAAAAGGCACTCATCTGTCCTGATATGGTGTTTTCTTCTTCTTCCCAATAACAGAACATCAGAACCCGCTGTTTGAGTACTAACTTACACCTCTTGGAGGATGTATTAAATGTCTGAGAGGTCACAGACTTTTGGTCTGAATAAACCACTTTCAGGGCCTCTACTGCAGCTTACAGGAGCTCTGGCTGGTCTGTAGTGGTGCCTGTTGAAGCTGCAACTGAAAGATCTCCATCTTTAGTTCTGGTGGACACCAGCGCACATGGAGACTGTCAAGCTAAAGAGGGAGATATTTAGGGTTCAGCCATCTGACTAATAAAGCATCTGACAGGTACAGGGTGTCTAAGAACAACTGCCCCTTTTCTGGTTCTGACTGCAAAACCGCGGGAATCAGAACTTCCACATAGAAGTCTGTCTAAATAAATGCTTGGCCTTAGTTTAATACTGAATCGCTTTATTAGTTTCCACAGTTTCTTATCATGTCTTTATAATAAAACGTATGAATAAGGCACCAAGCTCTCCTTCATTTTTGTTCCGTGTAGTGGCTGTGTGCATGGCAGGTGGAATTGTTCCTTAGAGAACTGCCCAGTCGATGGCGGATTGTCTCCCTGGGGTCCCTGGAGCTCCTGCTCACTCTCATGTGGAGGTTTAGGAGTGAAGACTCGAACCAGGGGCTGTGTCCAGCCAGCACCGGCGTTTGGGGGGAGAGACTGTCAGGGTCCACGCCAAGAAACGAGCTACTGCCAGGCTCCTGAGTGTCCAGGTACAGAGGGTAGATTGTATGGAGGAAGAGCCTTATTAGTGCCTCCTCATGATATCCTTTCATGATGATGATCCTTGCTCTGTGCAGGGTCTATGTCTGCATGACCTGGGGGCACCTTTTCTCTTGTGTTTGTTTATGTTCTGTCTTGTGACTTGGGATCAATAAAGTATCATCATTACCAGGGGCAGCTGTGGGTCAGGGGTTAGCACTTAGAATCTATCCAGTTCAACGTGCACCTCACAGCCAACACCTCCTAGGAAAGACAAGGATGGCTTAAACTCAGTCAGGTTTTTAGATATTATTCTGCATTTTGGTGTGATGGTAACTGTTATCATCCCCAACCCAAACTTAAATAATATAATGTTAGTTGAAGGTGGAAGCATGAAAGAAATTTTGGTTTTGCCTTTTTTTTTTGCAGTTGCACCAACAAAAGAGCCAACCATTCCAGGTAATATCAATATTTTTTATTTAACATCTTAGAGTATTTCTTAGTCGTTTACTTCTCTGTACTTGTATCTGCCTCCTAACAATGCTTGTTTTACTTCCTTTGCATTTTGCCTTTGTTCTTTATCGCCATTAGATGAGGATCATGGCTTCTCTCTCTGGTCGCTGTGGAGTCCTTGCACTCAAACCTGCACTGATGTTCAAACTCCTGTTGTGAAGTTTCGTCAGAGACAATGTACAAAACCTCCCTGCTCTGGAAGCTCTCACCAAGAGAAGGCCTGCAACCTGCCTCAGTGTCCAGGTACATCCAACACTCGCAGCAGGAGGAAGACAATGAACAAATTTTGTAGGCATATTAAGAATATGGTTTTTGGCAGCATGACGGCTCAGTGGTTAGCACTGATGCCTCACAGCAAGAAGGTCCCGGGTTTGATCCCTGGTTCGGACCTGAGGTCTTACTGTGTGGAGTTTGCCTCGTGCTTGTGTGGGTTTTCTCTGAGTACTCTGGCTTCCCCCACAACACAAAAATATGTACAAGTTGCCTTCAGGTCCAGGCAGCTCTTGCAAAAGAGATCTCTCTGAGATTTGCCTGGTTAAATAACGGTAAAAAACATGTGTAATGCAAACTCTAACTCTGATGTTACCAGACGGACAAGAGATTGTCCCTGTTGGGAGCTCAGAACCACTGATTCATGTAGACACATACAGTATATAGCATGAAGCAAGCAGAAAAAAGGACGGACAAACAAATTGAAAGATATCAAGTGATGTGTCTGGTTAGCCCCAGACACATCACTTGATATGTTTGAAACCAGAGTAAAACCAAGCTGCAAAAACATTAAACACCTGCTCTGACAAGTCTTCTGCAAAGTTTTGCAACATGTTCTTTGACTGTAGGTGAGGCGTGTGTGAAAGTCGACTGTGCACAAAGGAACTGCTCGTGGTTGGAGTGGGGGGAATGGGGCAGCTGTTCGCGGTCCTGTGGAGTTGGTCAGCAGCAGAGGATACGAACTTTCCAGAGACCTGGAGCGAATGGCTCGTGGTGCGAGGATATTGTTGCAGGGAACCTGGAGCATCGTTTCTGTAACATCATGCCCTGCAGAGGTCAGCACCACGGGGTCTGTTAGGGTACTTCAGAGGGATGTCTATTCTGGATTTTTCTTCACTAAATGATGAATGTTCCTTTTTTAAAGGCAGGCCATCATGCAACTGTCTGGATTTGTTTCTGTTTGCAAAATATGAGCTTATTAAAAATATCCATGGGTACAAATCACTTTTCAAATGAAGGTTTTTAAAAGTTTTAGCCTTCACGGTTCTGTTTTGGTGACACAGTGGACGGAGGCTGGACCCACTGGAGTCCATGGTCCCTCTGTGATAAGCGCTGTGGTGGCGGCCGCTCCATACGCACTCGCTCCTGCTCCAGCCCTCCACCCAAGAATGGTGGGAAGAAATGTGCCGGAGAGAAGAACCAGGTCAAGCCGTGCAACACCAAACCTTGTGGTGAGATTTACTGAGCATAGACTTGTTTAATATGTAGAGCACTATCTTTTTACGTTAGCTCATGCTGTACAATACTGAATACTTTAAACATTGTAACACCCCAGATATTGAACATGACACTCAATTTGGAATAGTGTGCTATGACTTTTGGTTGTGGTGTATATCATCGAATGTTGACAAAAATTGTAATATTTTTTATGCAGATCAATACATTTTCAGTGTATCATTAGAGAAAATCCATCCCCCTGTTGTAGAGCTCAGGCATATTTTTCAGTGGAAACATTTAATATTCAAACAGATCACAGAAAAATTGACTGTTTGTTTGTTTGTTTGTTGTTTGTTTGTTTGTTTGTTTGTTTGTTTTTTATGCAATTGCAGTTTAGCTTTTATGATTTTATGGAGTTTTTTTGATGGAATGTTCAGCTGACTGTTGATGTCACAGAAACTTTTGAATTGTCTAGAATTTTCACAATCTTTGCAAACTCTTTCTACTGCGACACTTTTTGGTACATATTGGAATTCCACATCAAATCATGACAAACATTTGTCTTCCTCCACCCACTGCTTTGAGACCATAGCTTATACCTCCCAATCCTCAGAAAGCAAAGCGTGCACACAATATTTTATGCAAAAATAGGAGAAAGGGTCTTTTAAACTTGTCTTATCTCCTAAATGACACACTATAGAAATATAAAAATTCATGTGAATTTATTGGAATTGTCTGCCGTTCAAAATCTTTAAAGATCTGACTTAAACTTTTGCTCAATGACCTTTGTTTAAGCCTTATTTCCAGTCTGTTTCTTTCTGTCCCATTAATTTGACAGTGAGGGAGTCAGACACTTAATGAGCCACTGGGAGCTCTTTTTCTTTTTTTAAAATGTAAGCATTTTATTCATTTTTTTTCATGGCTTCAGTTTTTACAAAATGAAGTTGGTATTTTGAGCAGTAGCTGCACTGGTATCCATCAGTCACCTCAGAAAACTTCTAGTCAGCGTTACATAACTCTTTGCGTCAAAAGAACCATAGCAGTTCATGAGCACTGTTCTTAAAAAGTAAAAATAAAGGCCTGCAGCATCCTGTAGAAATGTATGACCTTCTGTTTGCATGTTGTCAGGTGAGAAACGATGTGCACCAGGCCAAGAGTTTGTGTCATGTGCCAGCCAGTGTCCACAGCGCTGCTCAGACCTTCAGCAGGGTATTGAGTGCCAGGGCAACGCCGAATGTCAGCCTGGCTGTCGATGTCCTGAAGGTACGGATACAGATTTTATTTGTATTCACAGAAGTCGCTCACTATGTATGGTTGTGTTGTTTTATATTTGCAAAGGAGTTTTCAGTAGCCAAGCATACCCATATAATGTAAACATAGCATAAAAAGTAACAGCATTACTGGTTGATACATGCATTATCATTGATTTATAATCAGTTATGTTGGGGCACTCATTTTTGACAAAAAAACTGAAAGTGATAACAGTGATACTAAACACACTAAGAAATGTAATAAAAATGGATTTCATCCAGCTGGACATCACAGTATTTTATTCAGTTTAGTGAAGTGATGCTAACCAGCTGTTCCAAAATAAACAACTTAGATCTTAAACAAGAAAAGACTCATCTGTTCAGTAACATACACAGTCTCATTTCAATAACGTTTGTGTGTGTGTTCAGGTCAGTTGCAGCAGGATGGGGTGTGTGTGGAGCTGTGGCAGTGTGACTGTCTGGACTCGTTGGGGAAGGTGTGGGCAGCCGGCAGCTGGCATCAAGTGGACTGCAACAACTGCAGCTGTTCTGATGGACAGCTCCTCTGCACCAATCACAGCTGCCGGGCTTCCTGTGTTTGGAGCTCCTGGTCTAGTTGGGCAACATGCAGCGTTTCCTGTGGGAGGGGCCAAAGAACCAGATACAGGTGAAGAAAGGACACTTGTTGAAGTGTAAACTTATCACATTTTCTTTTTTTCACTATAAACTACAACCCCTGTTGTTTTTTTAAAGGCTTAATTTACACATAAATCTAAGGTATTATCTTATTGTCTTGTTGGATTTATCAGAGAGTAAAGTTAATGCTAGCTGTCACCTGCTTGGACACAATAATAATAATAATAATAATAATAATAATAATAATAATAATAATAATACAATCATTTTACAGACTCAAACTTTGAAACAAAAGCAGCATCAGGTTCATTGTTGTAAGAGTTTATGTCGATACATACTTAGTATCTATTTTTTTCAATAAACTAGCTTTTATAATTTTTTAAATCATATTATTTCTGGACATTTTAGTACCAACATCAAGATTATTCCATAATCCTATTCCTTCAATTATAGTTTTTTATTCATTCATTAAAACAAAAGAAAATTCTATATACCTAATCTATAAAAGTTATTCAGTTGAAGACTACAACCAATGTTTACTTTCTGGAAGCTCCATTGAAATCCATCTTGTGGTAATGACATATTTTAGTAACACACACATGTGCACACACACACTGGGACGGGAAAAACCATTATCATCCACCCTCACCTTTTTGTAACGAGTGGTTAAAAAAATGTAAACTACATAATGCAGGAGAACCAAGTCAAAAGCTCAGGAGTGAACAAGTCTGGAAGAAGAAAAATGACTAAAATGTAGAGAAAGAGGTCCTACAACAAAATACGTGAAGTGATGAGATGTTACGTTATGTTCTACCAGATCTCTGATCCCAGAGGATGAAGGAGCAGACTGCCACTCTGAAGAGGTTCAGCACAAACCGTGTCACCCAGGGCCCTGTCCTCCTCTCTGCCTGCTTGACAGGCGGGAGCTCCGAGTGGGGGACACCTGGCTGCAGGGAGAGTGTCAACAATGGTGAGTGCCGTTGCATGATTTACCAAAAATGCAGAAACACGTTGGAATAACTGCACAGAAAGTCTGCGGGGGGTGGGGGGGGGGGGGGAATGACCGGGCCCTGGTCACCCCGCCCCACCAGGCCGCACCTACAGGAGGTGACGTTGCGTGGCCGAAACAGGAAAAACCCAAATCCGCTCCATTTAATAATCCCGAAAATCAGAGAGACTAAGACATGTTATTAAAAATGTTTCAAAACAACCTTTTATCATTCTTCTTGATTTAAGCTTTGAATCATGTTCCACTAAGCGATCCCGAACGTGGCTGAGCTGTTTTAACACTGAAACACACCATCCGGGAAAGCTAATTTATCAAACTCCGCACCGGCAGACACTTATCACGGCTTCCAGCGCCGTATTTATTTAACCATGGCTTGTGCTCTAAAAGGCCTGCTGGTTGCATTCTTTGGCTGAAAACTCGTGCACATGAGCACTACCTAAGCGACTTTCTCAAACGAAAGTCGGGATGGCCGTCACTTGAAATGACTTCTAGCCTACAATTGTCTCCTCAATAGAAACAAGACGGAAAATTACATTTTCCCTCAGCAGTTTAAGCATATTTAAACTGCCTACACTCACCTAAGACGAACACTATCCTCTTGGCTACATTAAAACAGAAAGCTAAGCTCCCTGTTTTTTACTCGATATGGAATGAATTGCTCCCACATCTACCTCGGCTAGAATCATGCAGCCGCAGAAAACCAGACCAGCATCTAACAATTACAATTTCAATGTGTGTGGGCCGAAAAATCAGCCGTAGCTCTTAGCATAAGGTGCTAATGAAAATATTAGCTCACCATGTTTCTGCCACAGACAGGTTCTTTTTTCAGCTCCAGTCCCAAAAAGGCTACCCACAGCAGCCGAAGTGAGGACAGATCACAAAACGCGGACACGATCAGCAGAGAAAGACAGGTCAGCTTTCTCAGAAAAAAACCTTTCCCCAATTTCCAGTGGATCCCCAAGAAAAACAGTCGACCAGCTGCAGGCAACCTTCCGGACCTTGGAGCTGCCCTTTGACAACGCCAAAATCTGTCGTCGCATGATTTACCAAGAATGCAGAAACACATTGGAGTAAATGCACAGAAAGTCTGCGTGTATGGTCGTCAAAATGATTTAATTCTGAGCGACAACAAACAGAAGTCAATCAGGAAGTCTGTCATGTTGTGACTGCCACGTCAGTGTAGCGCAGCCAATAATATACCATCATGTTAACATCATGTGACATGCTTATAACCAATCACAGATCAACGAATGTAACTGCCTAGCCAACAACAGGGCTCTCAGCCCAAAGAGTTCCTACTCAGACAAGAGAGGTCAATCCGTTGCTGGAGTCCTGACGGCTGGGGCAAACAGATTGATATTGATCATAAGATATATGGACAGTGTCAAGGTGAAACAGATATAGTTAATTAGTCCATAACAGTGAGAGAAATCAAGACAAACATGTTGGGAGAAAAGTTGGGAGCTGGGAGCAGCAGAGAAAATGGAGGCGATTTGACTGTGATTTTTATTTTTATTTTTTATTTTTGTTACGTTTCAGCACGTGCACGCCAGAGGGAGTTTACTGTCAAGACATTGATTGCAGAGGTTGGTCTTAGTGACACAGAATACACACAGTAGAGTGAAATACAGTAACATAATGCAGGCGCTACTGCACCAATAGTGCCTCCTGAACGTTTCCACACTTAGTCACATTACCACTGAAGCTTCTTCTTATATGTGAGAATAAGACCAGCATGTATCTGATGATGTACTTAATAAAAGTGTCAGGTGGAAAAATGCTTTGTGTTTCCAGTGGACGGCGCCTGGACCCCGTGGTCAGTGTGGTCCGACTGCTCTGTGACTTGTGGTCAGGGCACACACGTCCGGACCCGTGCTTGCATCAACCCTCCTCCAAGAAACAACGGGTCTCTCTGCAGTGGAGCGGAGAGAGAAACCCGGTACTGTCAGACCCCACCATGTTTGGGTGTGTATCAGTGATCAAGTTTACTGTCTGCCTGATAAATGTCACACTTTAGCGCTAAGTTAACCAATTCTACCAAACCTGGCAAGGATTTACAGCATATATTGAATAAAATGTTCTTCTCTACAGATGACCTCTGCCCCTGGTCTCCCTGGTCTCCGTGCTCCCAGAGCTGTGGTGCGGGGTCCATGTCGCGACACAGGGTGTGTGTGTGTGAGGAGGGAGGGGATGCCGCATGCCCACCAGAGGTGGAAGCTGAGAGGAATAGTGAGGAGACCCAGCTGTGCTACAAACAACCCTGTTCAGGTACATATACTGTATATAAACATAAATCACACAAAGATTCTTCACAACTATCAGACAGGAATACTGAGATGTAAGAACCTTGTAGCAAAAATGTCTTTTTATAGATAGTTGTTCATTTTATTTCAGGTGAGAGGATCCATATTACCAGTACACCAGTACAGTAGGCTGCAAAAAATGTTCACCTAACCAAGTTTTAAAATCTTATATCCAGCCAAAAAGTCTTTTTGATCTTGTTTTGAGACTGATTTACTAAA